TCATGTGGAATTAATCTCTTTTTAACCAATCTCCCAAATCCAATCAACCAGTTTCTTGCACCATTTCTGTGACATCATTTGATAGAATTAGTTAAGGCCTTCAGACAGGTATTAGTCATAATGGTCAACAAAAATCATGATACATGAAGGAATTATCTGGTAACATTTGTGAGGCACTTAGCTCAGGACCCTCTAGGAGTTATGTGTTGAAAATCATCTCAATAAAGGTTTCATTCTTTAGTAAAACCTTCTGGAGACGCTGTGTGTGACATTGTCACACAAATGAAAACAATTTCAGTAACTTCATATAATCAGCAGAACAGATGTCTGTAAGGCTGTTTCTCTAAAAATGATAGAAACAAATTATGCTGTTTAAAAGCCAGGATTAGCTGGGTGTTGTAGCATGCGCCTGTAATTACAAGATGAGAGGACTGTTGCCTACAAATCAATTTCCAGGCAAACCACAGTGATGTAGTAAAAGCCTCTCTTAAACAAACAAAACCCTTAAAACTATACCCTCTCTGCTCCTGCTTGCGGTTTAAGATGTAAGTTCTCAGCTGTTCCTGCCGCCATGCCTTTATTCCACCATCATGATGGACTCAACCCTCTGAAACCATAAGCAAAATTGAATGCTTTCTTTTGTAAGTTTCCTTGGTCATGGTGTTTTATCACAGCAATAGAAAAGTAACAAAGATGTCCCCCATCAAAATCTGAAAATCAGGCTTGGTGATTTTGAATACAGACTTAATTAAAGTAAATTTTCAGTTAAAATACCATTATATACCTAGTTGTATTTGCCATGCCACCAAAGCTCATTTATATGATTCTTAGACTGCCTCTGCAGTCCATTAGTTAAAAATTAATTCTTCAACAAAAGCACACTTAAAACAAAAATGTGGTCAGCTGACTAATGCTCCCTCTCATAGTCACCTAGATCCTACCACTGGCCCCCGTGAATGTATGATAAAAGGGACCTTGCAGCTCTGAGCACATTTAGGGTCTTGAGATGACAGGATCATCCTGACTCCTGCTGAGGTGCATGGTATAGACAGAGAGGAGGTCCACAGAGAAGAGGCCAAAGATCAGAGGAAGGAGTGGCTCATCCACAGAAGCAGAGGCCATGAGTCTTAGGAAGATGTTTGGCCTTTGAAGGTGGGAAACACAGTCTTCCCAAAGCCTCCACAAGAAACCAGCCCTCCTGGAGTCTTGATTATAGCCCTCAAATCATTTCGGATTCTGACTTCCAGAAATTACATAGAATAAATATGTGTTGTAGGTAAGTCATGAAGATGTGTTTACTTGCTATAGCAGCAAGAGGAAACTCAGGCAAATGCATAGCTCTCAGCTGTCATTTCAAGCAGCTTTTATGAGCAAAGCTTGTCTTACCTAGCAACAGTTGTTAAGTAAGTTGACAGCTTAATGCTGGACACTGGGAGGGAGAAACTGCTTATCTTTGCCCAAATCCAGTGCCCACACCTTGTATGGCAGAGGCTGTTAATACCATTCCTTAGACATAAAGCCACTGCCTAATCATGACGAATTGTTTAGTTCTTAACATCCTCTAGCAAAATCTTAAAACCCTGACCCCCTTCCAGCTTTGTTAGACGTCTAGCTTCTCTTGAAACTACCTTTTTTTTTTCTTCCTGATCCTGATATTAACTGTAAGCAGCAAAGGGAATCAGAAATTTAACTATGATCAGAAATCCAGATTATAAAAATTTTGTTTGCTGTTCTGTTTGCAATAAAATAATCCCACCAGCCCCATTTGGGGAAACCTTCAAACGGATCTATGAATACAAGCCATTTAAGACACGCTTTTACACTCACAAAGATATACTGGGTAAGTGGTTTTACTCTTTTTTGGGATGGTGGTGGGAGATCTTTTGAGACAAGGTTTCTCTACATAGCTCTGACTGTCCTGAGACTCACTTTGTAGACCAGGCTGGGCTCTAACTCACAGAGATTACCGGCCTCTGCCTCTCAAGTGATGGGATTAAAGGCATGGGCCACCATGCCTGGAAGTGGTTTTGTTATTTTCATTTGTATGGCATAGAATAGCATTGTGGGTCATCCTTCAGTTCCTTCCTGTTGAAGGTTACTTAATTCTGTAGGAAATCCATCGTGAAGTGATAATGTGTTGGAATGCAGCCACTCTACTTAAACATTTTGTGCATGGAAAAGAGTTTTCAGTCTCTCAATGTGTTTCTTACTGTGAATAATAGCATTAATACATATCTTTTAAATTGTTTTGAAACTTTAATGAAATATTGTACATGTTTAACACCTGGAACATCATAGTAAATGTGTGTTCTTTCCAACTTTGCTTGTACCTGGGGACTTTCCAAAGGTATAGGAGAGAAAATATCTAAACACCCCAATAAGTGAGTGGAAGAAACTTAGCCTTTACTTTGTAGCTAGAAACAAAAGCAGATACATATAAATAACATAGGAATGTTTATCATGCATACATATATACATATGGTATATAAGCAAATTAACTAATTCATATTTCCACTTCTCACTTATACCCAGAAAATTTTTAACTAATACTGGATTTTATGTATATTTTCTAAGGACCCTTCAAATATTTTTTCCTGTCTTCTTTACCATGGGTGTGGTGAGCTAATGGTTACCTAATTTACTAAAGAAGTTAGGACCTGAACTAAAAGGCAGGGAAATAGAATTATAAACATCCTCTCTAACAACAGTTCCAAACTGATTTTAATTTTCAGGAAATTTTTGGTATGGATTATTAATGGTAATCTCTAAAATAATTTTTAGACCCAAGACAATGCTATCCCCATTCTTTAACAATTTACCGATATACTTTAAATGATTCCTTGTACTTTATAGGATATAAACCCTGAGCAGATAAATGTATGTATAAATCAGTATTTTATATTCACTTGCTTGTGTTTGTCATTAAATTATTATAAATCAAAAGAGAGCCAAAATTCTACATTCTTTATAAGGAAGCTCAAAAGCACCTTGAAATATCTATGTATGAGTATTTCCCAGGACAATGATTCTCTGCCATTACAACCCCCAAGGTCAGGCCTCACTGTGTCCTTTTTTCTCTCACCTTTAAAACTCCCTGTTTTGGAATAGTTTGATTCTTAAGTTGCACCACAGCTTTTCCCATTGGTTTTTTATGTAATACTGGTACATCGTCAAAACTAGGAAGTTAGCATGATAAGAACAATGCTCTTACCTCAGGTACATATCTTTCAAATAGTTTACCCCTTAGAAGTGTAGTTGTATGAAATGTATCTCATGGAATATTCATGTAACCATCACCACAAAGAAACTTCTTCATGATATCCATTAACAGTCAGTCGTACTTTCAAACTTCTGACAGCCATTAATCTATTTCTCTGTCTTTATAATCACTTGAGAATGTTAACAAACAAAATCATATACTGTGTAGCCTTTTGCACAGTGGTTTTTAGACTCATTGAAGTTGTTTTTATTAATAGTATCTCCTTTCTCAGCATGTATGTTTGCAAGAAGTTCTGTAGATGTCTTCTGCAATTAAGGTTGAGAACAACAAATATAATGATATTTAAACATTAAAAAGCACTACCCTACATTTGTGTTACATTTTTATGAATATAATCAATTTACACAATATTGAGATTATATGCATTCACCTCTACCATAATATTTACTGCTTTAAGACTCACTAATTAGGCGGCAGGGGTACACTGCAGAGATGACTCAGTGGTTAAGAGCACTTGCTGCTCTTCCAGAAGACACAATTTCAGTTTCCAGCACCCATATCAACTGTTTGTAATTACAGCTCTAGGGAATCCAATGTCTCTGGTCCCTGAGAGTACCTGAACATACTCATACAAATGTACACACCTGCCCACAAATTGAAGGGATAAAAACAAATCTTTAAAAGAGAAAATAACAAACTTTAAAAAGACTTATTAGTGATCTAGTGGTAAAGTTCTATCCCAAAAATATATCTTTCACCTGTAGGTGATGGAAACAACTTTGAACAGAACACATAAAGTGAAATTTTGTGATACAATTTCTTGATCCTTTTAACAAAAACTCAAGGTGGAACCTGTCTTCGAGATTTTAGTCTATCAGGCTCACACTCAGTGAATTGACTGAGATGTTACTGCATCAGGCCTACTCAGCATCTAGGAAAGGATATGGAGACAAATCGTTCTACCATGTATTAATCACAGTTTAGAAATGCCAGAGGAAAAGGAGCTATTTTCTCTTTACATCCTTATGCAAAAAACCTAGGGAGGAATGTGGCTGGTCAGGCTTGACTATGCCTGATTCCAGACTAGCTTCTTTGAGAAAGAAGGTTCAAGCAATTTGCATGTTGCTATTGGCAATCTTACCACACCACTCGAGTGAGGGAGTTCTTGTGAGAAGTGGGGCCTGTTACCACAGCAGGAGATGGTAAGCAAATACATACCCACAGTATCTTACTGTGAGGATTGCCATGCTAGGCACTGTAATAATTTAAGGGTCATCTCAGGTGAGAAGTTGTGTAAATCTTGGGACAATACCAAAGGGCTAACTAAGTTCTTAGGTCCAGGTCCAGAATTCTTCTGAACTATCTGATTCTGTGTGTCTCTCTACCTGCTCTAGAGTTGCACTTTGAGTGGAGAAGGTATCATGGGGTGTTATTATGAGGAAGTAAAATTAGATCATTGCCAGAGTAATAATAAACTAGAAACTTAGCTCACATGACCAACACTAATGAAAGGCATAGACGCTATGTATTAAAAACAGCACCCTGAAAAATAAATAAATAAATAAATGAATAAATGAATAAATAAATAAATAAAGCCAGGTGGTGGTAGCGCACGGGAGGCAGAGACAGGTGGATCTCTGTGAGTTCAAGACCAGCCTGGTC